CCCTCCCCTCGTCGCCAGCGCTGCTAGTATTCTGGACATCAGGTGAAGTCATGCGCTCAGCAGTCACTGCAGCACGACGCTGGCCATGAGGTTGCGCAATACAGCACAAACCCTGCGCAATGAGGTCGCGCAATGCGGCTTCCGGCAGCCTGACACAGCGCGCACTGCGTTCACAGACCATATTGCTCGACGCCAACCGCATCGTGGAGCACACCCACCATAGCGTGACGTCCTTACAAGGGGGTTGGTCACTGCGGCTTCGACGCAACGCGTGCAGGCCTGTAATCCTGACACAGTGCGTACAGCTGTGGGACCATAGCTGGTACACATGCGAGCGTTTACGCATTGCGACTTTTACGCGCGCCTGTTTTCACACACCTTTACACAAACGAGCGTCGACGCAACGCAGCCTCTCTGCAGAGCCGTGTGGCGCAATCTGACCGCGACGGTGTTCCTCTTGAGCCTTCTTGTGCTCTCTGGCTTTGTTGGTTTCATCCATGAATGACCAAGGGGCACGTTCCTGAAACACCGGAGACAGTCCCTCACCAGAAAAGGTCCCGACAGCTACCCGGTCCGTCTCTACCTTTCGTGTTTCCCCGCTCAAGTTCAATGAGCTGGCAAGATGAGTGCAATCAGCGTGCATGGCATGCAATGAAGCCATGAAGCTGAGTGAGAGAGCCAGCTAAGTTTCACGAGATGGACTGAAGGTGAAAAGTCAGTGAGAACCACTGATTTTCAAGGCGGGGTGTCCGAACAAGCATGACCCCTGCGTATAGGATGGCGCGCACTTAAATGAGAAGTGTACCCGCTTGCGTAGTGGCTCAAAAGCAGCCTTGAAAAGGGGCGCGTTTTAGTGAGACAAACCACGCTGTGGTTCGCGATGCCCAGCGCACGGTCAAACGACCAATTTCGGTGGTTGTGCGATTTGAATGGGGTCGCTCTCGTTAATTGGCCGGCATAGACAAGGTTGCACGGCTAAGGCCGCACATAAATCTTTGCGTTTTTTTGGGGGCACGCTTTAGTTGACTGAGGTTTGGCCAGGCAAATTCAAAACAACCAATTTTCACACAGGGGACTTCCAGCGCACCAACCGTGGGTCAGGCAAATCGTAGAGATATACAACTTGACTTAATTGTTCACACGCAGTTTGGCACAAGGGGCTGCAACAATTGCAGGTGCCCCTGTGATTTTTGACCAGTGGAGATACTCATGACAAACAAGAGATCAATGCACGCAAAACAACTTTGGTTTGGCATGGGTTGCTCCAGATTTTCGTTGTCCAATTTTCACATTTCGTTTGTGATTTGTCGTCCTGCCTCCGTCATGTCCCTCGCAGCTGCGGCTGCAGTGGCTGCTGCAACAAGCAAAGCGGAGGCAAATGGCGAGAGACGCAATTCTTTGGGACAAATGCCGAAGATGCCCTGGGTTTGGGTGGCTGACCAGCGCACGCCCAGCGAACCCAGAGACTGAACTGCAAGACAAGAACATCGACATTTGTTGCGGGTTTGGTTGTGAACATGGGTTGAAAATGTGAGTTTTGCTAGTTGCTAAAATTGGTGTCAAAAAATTTGGCACTATTCACACATAGTGCCCGAGGAAAACTTCCAGTCCCGAAATATTTTCAGTGTGGCAACGAGCACATTGGGAAGCTCACGTGGGATAGCATGAAGAAGTGGCTCAGTCGTGGTGTCGAACGCCAAGTCACCTCAGCATGGATTGCGGTTGAGGAACCTGGCAAAAGTGAGTGGCACCTTCATGAAGTTCCAATTCAATTGAGCAGCTCTCCTTTCAAAGATGGGACGCTTGTGGTGGTGTGCTGCGGCAACGAGCCTCTGAAACCGAACATTTCAGGACAGCTCCCAGCTCCTTTCAAATGGAAGCCGGCTCAGACCACGGAAACGAGTGCCAGATGCTCAGTGTCAACACCTGTTTGGCGCAGTTCTTGGACTTAGGAGGTGGGTGCTGAAGTCATATACTATTGCAATTTCCCATTCTCTTGCTGCTAGTGTTATGGGGCCCCTGTTCTGCCTTTTCGTACGCACTTGCATTCAATACTTGGCACCTGGCACCGAGCCAGTGGCCCTTGTGCCTGTGCTTACTTCGCATCACCTAGCAAACAAGCCGACCATCGTGGAAGATAGAAAGCCAATGTTGATTTTGTAATAATGTTTGAACGGTTGCAGTTGGGCGTTTGTGAGATGGCTCAGTGAAGAGTCATGCCCGTGAGAGAGAGAGAGAGAGAGACAGAGAATGTTTGAACAGATTCCATATATAGATGTTTGACGATCCTGATCCAGATCAGGGGTTGGATTTACAAAAGAAAAGAACATCGTGAAATGTAGGAAATCAAAAATCAGCACTTGCTGAAACTAGATCACATATGCCTCTTGGCTGTTTGGCGCTTACAAGCTGAGGTCCTGGGGGGGAAGATGTGGAAGTCGGCACGCTCCAGAGTGATTGCCACCATGGCCTTCGGTGGGCCGGCGGCCTTTGGAAGGAGGCTCTCAGGTGAAAGCGAAAAGTCAGCAGCGACTGCGAGTGATGCAGATGGCTGTGCAAGTCGTGGCTTGGCAACCTGCAGACCGTTTCCTGATTTTTGTATTTCTTGTTCCCTTCTGCTCAAAGCTAGCATGAGGTGTTCTTTAAGGTTGGATGGTTTGTACTCTTGCCATAGACCGGTCTGAGGCGAAATGTCCGACTTGAGGCCAGAATCAGCTTCACACAATAAGCAGCTGCTGAAGCCAGCCATCAAGAAAGGCGAAGGAACGGCAAAGCCTGCAGGAACAAAGCCCAAGAAAGTGAGAGCAAAGGCTCGACTAAAGTTCGAGGAAGATGCTGTAGGCATGGAATTGCCACCTGAGAGTTCCTTGGCAAAATCAGTACTCTGCTCCTGCCACTGCTACTTCTAGTACCTGACAACGCTTGACTCTTTCTACACTTAGACTCTGCGCCTTGTGAATGCTTTGCAGATCTGGGTCCAATATGGTCCAATGCTTTTACTTTTATGTCATTTCTTGCGACACTGGGCCACTGAAGTTGGAGATGGGCTTGAGGCGCTGATCCTGCTGCAGATCTGAACGCTCCAGCGAAGCCGTGGCTGCTTTACTGTGGCCCTGGTGCTCCAACAACGATGCTTAGCTGCAACGCGGGCCTGGAAGTCAAGTGATTTTTCCCCAGATAGCGAAGCTATGGGGTTCTTACTTCAAATAACAATGAGTTGCCCGTGCGCGCTTTCGAGACAGGTTGCTGGTGCTGGTGCTGGGTGCCGGTGCTGGTGCTGGTGCTGGTGCTGTGAGCTGGCTGTGCACGTGGTGGAGACAGGTTGCTGGTGCCGGTGCCGAAGGTGGGTGCCGGGTGCCGGTGCTGGTGCTGTGAGCTGGCTGTGCACGTGGTGGAGACAGGTTGGTGGTGCCGGTACCAGGTACGTACACTGTTCTATGCGCAACGTCAGGCTCTCAACCGACCATTGTTTCAGCATGTTTCAGCCTGCTACACACAAAATAGTCGTGCTGGATACTGCTTGGCCTTGGGCGAGTGAAGCCTACGGGCTTTGCCCTTTGTGCGCACTCTTTTGTGCGCATAAACTTATACGCGCAAGATCATACTGCCTCATCGTTCTACAGATCGTTGCTTCAAGCGTGCTACAATAGTGGCGCTGGATACTGCTTGGCCTTGGGCCAATGACACTTACGGGCTTTGCTGTTTGCGCGCATACTTTTGTGCGCATAAACTTATACGCGCAAGAGCGCACTAGGGATAGCTATGGGGGTCTTACTGCAAATTTAATAAGAATGAGCTGGCTGCGCGTGCTTTCGAAGGGGTGTCAGTGCTGGTGCTGGTGTTGGGGTCCTGGGTGCTGGTGGCTGAGCGCGCGTTTTTAAGACGGGCGGCGGTGCTGGTCGGGTGCTGGTGCCGCCCCCATCTCAGCTGGCAAAGCGCACCGGTGCTGGTGTCAGCTGGTTGCGCGCGCTGGAGGCGCCGTAAGCTGGCTGTGCGTGCAGGCTGTGCACATTCTTGTTCCAGCCAGTCGCATGTCAACAGGTCGTGGGATGCTGCCTAGCTATCAGGGTCTATGCTGGTTTAATTTTGTTCTGCGTGTGGTCTGAGGATGACCCGTTCTACGCAGACAGAGCCTCTCAAGTTACTGAAGGCAAGTCACCTTGCTTCGTTTGTTTCCAAGTTGCAGTCCATGCAAAACCCGCACTCCATCCGCAAATTGACCCTGAATACAGCACAACCACGTCTTTGAAGGTAGCGGTTGGGATATGATTGTTTCATCCTGTGCATGCAGGCATCACGGTCTGCCAGCGGATGTTGCCAGTGCAGCCAGTGTTGCTGTGAGCCTCGGCCTTTTCTTATGAATGAAGCCGTCTCCAAGAAAGTGTCCTTTGGTCCTTCGTTTTTCCGGACAAGACTGTGGCACAGAAACCAAGGATGTCTATGATGAGAATGATGTATTGCCCATACACTAGGAGTTGCCAAGTTTAGGAATTCGTGCACATATGCCGAAAGACTGTCCCAGAGAAAATTTCAAGCAGGGTTGGGTAGGCACTTTTCCAAGTTGTCCATCGGGCTTAGAAAAATATATCGTGATATCCCGCGATCTTGAGGGCTTGCAAAACTCAAATGTCAAAAGGGCAGTCTCTGGTAGGATTCAGCCGTTTGGCGTCCTCACTTGTCACTTGGTGCTTGCCAAGCAAGCCTCTTGAGTGGCAGCGATTTCAAAGAGAATGGCAAAAGCGAGAGGGCTTATAGAGGTTTTGTGATTTCACAAGTTCTTCTAATCAAGTCACATGCTGCTGTGGCTGTACCTGTACCTCTTTCTTTCTCTCAAGCTCTTAGAGGGAAGGCTTCAAGTGACGGAGCTATGGCGTTTAGTTGGTCTCAGAGTGATGCAGAGGCTATCCCAAGACCTGTTCAGAAGGCAGATTGTTGTTTGCTCAGCGTCTTGGTTCAGGTCACGCTAAAGTTTGATTTGGACAGCTCAGTGGGTTGGCCGCCAAGACGGACGCAAACAAACAAAGTGTCATAGTGCAACGGACGCGAAAAATCGATATTGATGTTAAACGGGACGATCACATATGAACATAGACAAAGAACCCGAACTGTGACACCAGCCTTCTTCCTTACACCGCTTGAGGCAAAGAGCAGCTCAAGGTAAAGATTGACGCGGCTCATGTGCTTGTGCCGGGCACAGATGGCAAGTCAAGGCCACAGGTGTTTCAGGCAAGCTCCTTCTCCAACCGCAGAGTTTGCAGTTCAAGTCGGGATTTTGCCATGGAGCAACACGGTGAGAATGTCCCTGGTGGATTACCAGGCAGCTGGCTCAGCCGGTTATATATATATATATACGCTTGAATGTCACGTGCGAATGCCAGGGAATGATTGCCTTGAGTTGTGATTGCACGCAGCTCCGATAGTACTCCACATTCAAAGTCTTAAAATGGTGGAGCTCAGCGGAGCCCACTTCCGTCGAAGATTTGGTGCGCCGGGCGTGTGTGTACACACACACACATACATCCATGCATCCATGCATCCATGCATCCATGCATCCATGCATCCATGCATGCATGCATGCATGCATCCATCCATCAATCCATCCATCCATCCATGCATGCATGCATGCATCCATCCATCCATCCATCCATCCATACATACATACATACATACATTTCAAGGTTCTTCAGGTTTTCTCAAAGATTTGCAGCTGAGATGTTGTGTGAGGTGACACGGCGTATTGCAGAAGGGCGCTTTGGCACAGTGTTCGCGGCCTGTCACCGGCCAACTGGACAGGAGGTTGCTATCAAGAAGATTCGAGCTCGAAAGAACTTGCCAGGCCTTGACTTTGATCCATGGTTCAAGAGCGCGGAACGCGAAAGAGATGTGCTCGAGACCGTGAAACACTGCAACATCATCGAGTTGCTTGAGCATCATGTTGAACCTGATGCCACCATGGCCATTCTCATTTATCCTTACCTAGCTTGGGACTTGGCTACTGTGTGCAGGGCTCAGGTTGGCAAGCTGCTGCGCATGTTCCACTTGTCGCGTCATACAGCCTGGGTGAGACTGAGGCTTGAGAGGAAAAAACCGCTGAACGAGGGAAGTGTCAAGGTCTTGCTGCGCATGCTGCTGGAAGGTGTGGCCTTTTTGCATGAGCATGGCGTAATGCATCGAGATTTGAAACCTCCAAACTTACTGATTGAGCCTTTGCCCAGAAAACTAGTTGTCATCGCTTCAACGCTGTGGACTCTCGATCGAACACAACGCCGCGCTGGATCGAGAACGATCTAAGGATGGATCCAGTGGGGAACTCAAGGTGGCGGACTTTGGCTCTGCAAGGTTCGTGGGGGGTACGGTGGCTTCTGCAGAAAGTTGAAATCGACTACAACCAAAGCCACAAAAGGCATGGTGCAGGTTTATCTTCCAAACAGATTGTTGTTTCCTGATAAATAGTCATTTGCCACTGTCCTGTCAGCGACACACTAATCACTAATCCCAACGCGACAGCATGGATAGCAGATGAATGGTGAAAACTCAATCCTCGCTGTTGCACATCAAACACCAAACGTTTTGATGTTTGCCCCAAGGTTCCAAAATCGCTTTCCTTATATAACTTTTGTTAGGGCCACGGTCCACCGTCAAATCTTTCACCTGGCAGCATTGGTAGGTTCCTACAGGGCACTTCTTCGCGCAGCTTCGGAGAGCAGCTCATGACGAGGGATGTGTGCACTCGCTGGTATAAATCACCTGAGATGCTCTTCGGCTCCGTGACTTATTCCTTAGGTGCCTTGGTGGGGAGTTGAGGGGCCGCCGTGAGCAGGAACAACCAACGCGCGGTGGTGAGTAGTGAGTGAGATTTCCGATTCCGCAAGGTGTCGACCTTTGGGCGGTTGGTTGCACATTCGCAGAACTGCTTTCCTCAGTAGCGCTCTTCCCCGGTGGCAGTGACCTTGAGCAATTGTGCCTCATCTTCCAGGCACAGAGTATGAGGTGAAACCTCAAAGAGAAGCTGCGTTTCAGTTCTCCTGCCACATTCCACTCACGCAAACCCTGGCAGGCCCTCGGTACACCTGATGAAGCAGATTGGCCAGAAGTGCGGGAGCTGCCTGACTACTCGAAAGTGCAGTTCCAGCACAGAGCGTCCTTTGCCCTCAGACCGCCAGAGCTTCGCAGGGTTTCGCCGGTTTCGCGCGAACAGTCCCCCAGGTATTGTCTAGTTTAGTCCGACTGAGGCCAGACATTCCGGACTTGGGCGATCGATCCGACGCAGCGAAGGAGCTGGTATGGGCATTTATGCGACTCAACCCCGTGCAGCGAATCAGTGCTCCCCAGGCCATTCCACTTGTGCAGTGCTGTGCATAGGGCACGTGGATGGAGAGCACGGGGTTGATTGGAGCAAAACTTTTCTTTCTATCCACTTGAGCGCTGGAAGAATTGTAGGCCCTCTTCCACCGGTTCTTCCTCGAAGGCTGCCCTGCTTCTCGGGCGGAGGAAGTTCTGGAAGGCAGGGAAGAATAGGGCCTCTCTGACACGTTGGAGGGGAGGCTTTTTGCATCCTTGGGAGGCTTATCTGATTTTGGGCATCATCAACTTGAAGCCAACGTTGGGCCGATCTCACCGGTAGGCCTCAGTGAATTTGGGTCAGACTGCAGCCTTCTGAGCATCCCTGGCGACTTGCAACCTGTCGAAGTGGAGACCACGGCCTGTGGGCCTGGATCTAAGGAATCTAAGGATCAAAGTCCTTGGGAGTGATGAAAGCATTCTTTTCGACCCCAACATCTCCTAACCGCTCCACTGAGGCTGTGGGACAATGCTGATGCACTTGAGGAGCCACCCCTACGTCGAGGGTGTCAAACTCCACCGCCGCCAGCTGATGGCATCCACAAGTTCAAGGCCAAGCGATGAGGGATCCGAAGCGATTAATCGGAGCAGACCAGTGAGCACGTCCATCACTGCGCAGAAGTCGACTCGGAACAAACTCCAAAGGCTTCCCACGGTGGCATGAGCAACATGAGATGAAATGTGAGCCACAGGGCCCGAGGAAGCAGGGATGCAGCGGGCTCTCGGCTCTCGCCAGAGAGAAGTGCACTTTGATGATGCGCCCCAAGTCCTTTTGCGGAAATTTCTTCGTTTAAGTTTTAAATGCAGTTTGTAGAGCAACGGAGAAAAGCAGAGCGGAGACAGCGCAAGCTTTTGTATATATATATATATATACAACTTTTTCCTAAATATGCACGCACACACACAGATGCATATATATATATATGTATACAATACATACACACGGTATGTATGTATCACTTTATGCAAACCGTTCTGCAAACAAGATGAATCGACATGAAACTATGTTTGAGGTTTCTGTTTCTGGCCGTTCAACTCTCAGTTGTTGTGACGAAGACTGAACAGCATTTGAAGTCCATTTGCTGCGCACATTTGTTGGAGAGGCAGTGTTTTCGATCACGAGCTCTGCGGGAAGGTGGACACCTCAACCATAGTGCATGTGCATGGGTCAGGCCAACGTCTACCTTGTAGCCATGTTGGCCATTTTTCATTCCACTCGTTTTGCGCCCGATTCATCCCGAGGTGAATGTTGATGAGCGGGTGCCTGAGGAGTCAACACCTGGTCCGATGAAACCGTTTGCGATGCTCGGCAGAACGAGGTCTGACTGGCAAATCGAAGTGGGAGCGACCAAAGCATTGGCCTTTGCCTTACAGCCGACGGGTAATGCCATTGATTCAGGTTTGGATGACTTTGGCACAGTTTCCAAGCAAATTGGGGTGAAACTTGAAGTACTTGTGACAGGTGGTCAACCTGTGCAAGAAGAAAGCAGTGAAGTGGAGGCTAGGCGTCACTTGCATACAACCTGGAATCTACATAGAGTGTAGTGCAGCGGCAACCCGAACCTTTTTGTCTTTGGGTCTGAATGTCAAGGGAGCCATTTGGGAGTGTTGCTTCCTTGTGTTTACTTGGTTGTGCTCCACGAGGTTTAAATCGTCCTAAGGTTCCCGTTATGACAAGCTTGCACGTGCCGTATATGTGGTTTGCTACTCGTACTGCCTTTTGGACCCTTTTGGTATTTACACCCGAAGGCCGTCCCAATTTGTGCCCATTTCGCAAAAAGAAGGCTTCTGACAGTCGATTGAACGTGTCATACTCTGCCTTGTGCTTCGGTTGACAGGGTTGCCTCCCATGTGCTTTGGATTTGACCGCACCCTTCAAGCAGGGCACTCACCAAGGAGGAGGAGCAGTCAATGCCTGGGGCGGACGCAACCGCCTCAAGATATTGTTGCAACTACTGGCCCTCGAAATACGCTAGTAGGTTGGAGCCCATTGCTTTGCACGTAAATCGTCGCACAATACTTCCAGACTCGTGAGGTCATGGATGACAACTTTGACGTCATGCAGCTAGAGCACGACGACGATGATCCTGAACGGGTGGGGTGCTTTGTCGTTGTCAGCCGAGGTTGTACACAAATGTGCAAATTGCTTCGCGCCAGAAGATGGGCTGTTGCTTTCCCCAGGTCGAGGAGCAACTAGAGAACGAGAAGAAGCTTGAAGCCAGATATCAGAAGCTGGTTGGAGAGTTGGGACTTTAGCAACGTAAAGGTTTGCCTACAGGGCATCAGAAGCCAGTGACAGAGGTGTAGAGAAAACAGAAGAAAACTGTCGTGCGCAAGAAGCAAGCCACTAAAGCCATGCAGAACCAAGGCGAGGAATTGACGATGAGGCGACATCATGACTCTGGGTTGTGCTTGCGTTGTCCTGGGATTCTTGCTGGACAGCTGGACAGGAGACCCTCAACACTTTCTTTGCACTCTTCGACAACTGCATTCAGCTGTATCGATTGAACAAGCCAGAAGCACAGTCCAAGCGCTTCTGAGTGCACGCACTCCATGTTTCTTCAGACTTGAGGGGAAACTGGCACCTGTTTCGTTCGTTGCTTCATCGTTTGGGAAGCGGGCTGAAGGAGCATGTCCACATCGTGGGACTGTTAGGGAAGTTTACTGAGGCTCAAGAGCACAATTGACTCAAGTGCAGCCATGGTAGGGGTTCTGACTCGCATGGTCGCTGAGATAGAGCAGACAAGGGCAGAGCGGCTGAAACAGATGGAGCTGCGCATAGAGAAGGATGGACGAACGCGCTGTTTGGTTTGCGGACGAACCAAGTACGGGATACCTCGGATACCTCTATCCTTGTGTTGCCGGCTTGACCCCTTTTTGAGAGGTAGGCTTTGGCAAGCTTGGCCATGTTTGAGACAGTTGGTGTTTTTTCCACACGGTGACATTCGAAGGTAGTTAAGAACGGTGGCCTATGCTTGATGACAGTTTTGCAGGCAGAGACTCGGTATTCATTGACGGAGGCCGCTGCAGAAGTTTCTTAGATGCAACAAGGCCGTTTTCATTTTTGGTTGGGCAGCTCCTGCCGAATCACGAGACTCTTTGCCCGGAATTCTTCAGAGTCTAATTCACCCGATCCCCTTTAAAGACGCAAGAAAACCGATTTGAGTTTGATTTCGCCGCGCAACCCAATTGGATCCCTAGTGGTGCTTTAGTGTGCTCATCTCAAGGAGATGCACGGGCAGCATATGCAGGTGATGGAAGATGATGAGTTGCTCTCTCAAAGGCGCGTTCTGCAGATGCGGCAGCAGGGTGAAGCTGCTTTGTTGGCTGCAGAAGCCCGGGCGAAAGATGCCCACAAGAAGCGCGAAGATGTCGAGGCTCAACTCGAAGAGATCCGCGCGGAGATCTACAGCATCATGGAAGTAGAGGCAGCCCAACGGGAACAGCTGGCAAGTCGCTTGACGTCGGCGGATATACGTACAGCCCGTGCGGTAATGGATGTGGATGTCAAGATGCAAGCGCTTCGTGGAGAAGCGGACTACTCCACGAGAAGCACCTTCCAAGGGTTGCAGCAAGAGCATCATCATGCCTGGGCCTTGCAAGATCGTCTTGGAGGCTTGAAAGAGGTGGTGACCGGAGTCAGAGCCTGTGAGCGGGATCAAGAACTCCAGCGCGTGCCGAAGGTCATGCCACGACCGTTTGACCTTGAAGAATCCCCGTTCAATGGTTTTGGCACGTTTGGATCCTCGCGGCCACCGCAAGTGCCCAAAGGGTTCTATGCGGAGGCCGCGCCAGCGGCCGCGCAGGCCGCGCAGGCACAGGTGCGGGCGAGCCATGCTGTAAATGCAGCACCCAGACTTGCCAAAGTGTGCCTGAATGCCTAAAAATGAAAAAGACAAAGGAACCAGTGTGAGCCAATCACTCAAAGGTCTCCGAACATGGGTGCCCAGGCTTTCAGACTACCTAGAGCAGGCCAGGTTTGTACTGTTATTTCGGTCATCTTGCAAAGTGGGAAGTGGGAAATGTGCAGATGTAGTTGCTGATGGGGATTGCATGTTCATCGATCCATGGTGAATGGAATGCTGGCAGGTCGTCCCCGTGTGTCGCAAGCGTGGTGACAAGTTCTACATGAAGGGAATCCAAGCCTTGGCATTTGTGCGTCCTGAAGCCCAGCAAAGAACTTTCCCCCATGTGGGATTATTGGCAGTTCGTGAAACAACCGTGCCATTCCGACTTTTGTGTTTGCTTGCTCGTGGTCCAGCCCTTCACCAAGGTTGGAAGCAATCGAGATTCCGAGAAGCATTGCCATTGTTCCATGCCGGCCTCTTAAGGAATGATGGGTTTGGGTTGAGAAATTGGACATGCCCCATGTTGCTAGTTGTGTCTTGACCTGCTGAGGAGATGGAAGGTGTCTTAGGCAAAAGACATGCACTCAGCTAACGGAGAACGCGTGCATGGACGCTACTAGGGGCTCCTGGCCTTACTACTAGGAGCAAGGACGCTACTAGGGGCTCCTGGCCCTACTACTAGGAGCAAGGACGCTATTAGGGGCTCCTGGCCGTACTACGAGGAGCAAGGACGCCACTACAACCTCCTGGCCTTACTAGCAGGAGCAAGGACGCTACTAGGGGCTCCTGGCCGTACTACTAGGAGCA